AACGGGGGTGAAGAGGGGCCTGTGATTCCCCAGGGTGAGAGACAGAGCACCTGCCTGTGGGATCTTGCTAGGAAATGCTGTGTGACCTTTGGTGGGTTAACCTCTCTGTGTCTTTGTACGCTCTTCTACAAAACCGAGATAATGCCAGCGTTGTTGGGAGGATTTTATTAACTGCAGGTATCAGATGAGGAGGAGAAAAGCCTCATCACATGTTCGTTGTGCTTCATCAGCATTTGTTGTTTTTATTCATATCATTTTCTGCGCAGCTCCCAGCCAGTCTGAGGCTTCAGCACAGTGCACGCTCAGTTTGTCCAGCACTCAGCGCTCCGGAAGTAGGGGTCCCTCGGGGATTTTGAACTGATGGCTCTGGCTAACCATAGATCCGGGCAGGTTTTCCTCAGAGCTGTGCTGTGGTTTGGGAGGGACGTTCACGACCAAGCACTGGGCACGAAGCCCATTGTCGGCATGGCCGATGGCATGTCTGGAAAGCAAAGGTGAACCTCATCCTGAGCTCCGGAATCATTTGAGACGGTGGAGTCTGGCTTCTGGTTATTCTCCCGTGTCCACAGGCATCCCCTGCTGCCAGCGGCAAGGGTCCTGGACGTGTTCTGTGAAACAGGCACCCCCGGAAGCCTTGCTCCTCACGCTGTCGTCCGGCAACCAACGGTATCTGGCATCCCTGGGGGCTACCTAGAAATAGAGGGTCTCAGGCCTGCCCCAGACCCACGGAGTGGGAATCTGCATTTCCCCAGTATCCCCAGGTGGTTCGTGTGTGCACTTCAGTTTGAACAGTGCTAGTCGGTAGCAGAGGTGGGCACGCTATGGCCTGCAGGCCAAATCTGGCCCCCCACCTGTGTTTGTAAACAGTTTTGTTGGCATGTAGCCATGCTCACTTGTTTACACTTTGGCGGTTTGCAGGCTACAAACGGCAGAGTCAGTTGTTGCAGAAGAGACCGATGGACCGATGGCCCTAAAGTGTTTACCATCTGGCTCTTACAGAAAGTTGGCTGGCTCCTTGTCATATGCTCTGGTCGTCAAACCTGGCTGCCCATTCCAATAACCTGGGAACTTAAACATGCTGATGCTGGGCTCTCGCCCTGAGATTCTGATGCGACTGGTGTGGGTGGGTCCTGGGCGTCGGGACTTCCCAGAGCTCCTCAGGCGATCTGTGTGTGCAGTTGTGAGAACAGTGGCTTTAAATTGCCCATGAAACCCAGCAAGTGCCGTTCTGCGATCCGCGACGGGCCTGAGATCAGCAGCGGAGCCCTAGCACGTGTGAATTGTGCCTGAGTTAGCTGTCGCTGTATCTGCTGTTCTCTGACGTCGAAGGCTTTCGGGGACAGAGGTGGCTGACCGGGGCCTGGCAGTTGGACCTCCCTCTCGCGCCGTCAATCTCCCAGAGTGAGAGGGGCATCCCCGTGACAGCCGCTCACTTCCTGTGCCCCCCAGGAGGCAAGGCAGGTGGTCACCATTGTGCCTGACGGTCCCTCCCAGTGGAAACCACGTTTAAGACCAGGACTGACCTGGGGTTTCTCCCTTTCATCCTTTTCCACTCGCATCACTCAGCTCGGGGCACACGGACACCTCTCCAGAGGGAGGTGGAGTTCAGGGCCCAGGAAACCGGGAGCCCGTCCATGGGGTTCTGTGCCACGGCTCCAGGGTGGCTCTGAAGTCACCGCACCCACTTTTCCCAGAGGGTGGGGTGTGGGAGTCGCCTGCCCCCGCCCTGGAGTGTCAGGGAGAAGGTCACGGGGTCTGACACTGGGATCTCGCACCTGGGTGGGACACGACGGGAATAATGACCAGGTTCTAGTGCTGACTAGGACTTTGGACCCTTCTCACGAGACTGGGTTGGGGCAGGCGGGGTGGGGAGAGGGGTGGAGAGGGCAGGAGGGAGAGAGGCCTGGGTGTAACCAGGGTCAACTCAGGCTCTGGGTTTGAATCCTGGCGTTGCCGTTTCCCAGCTTTGGCAGTGCCTCAGTTTCCTCTTCTGTAAAATGGGAGCAAGATGGGGGTTGGTAAAGGAGATGAGGAAGTACATAAAACATGTGCCCGGCACGTGGCACTTGGAGCTCTTTTTATTATTAATGCTGTGAAGTGGATGATTATTCAGGGGAGGGGGTCATTATGGGCTGGCCCAGGCCCAGATCGGGACTCTAGGAATCTTGCAAGGGGGACAGGGTAGGCTAGGCAGAAAGGGGCAGGGATGCCCACAGCACCCCCATCTGAGGCCCAAGATGCTGACCAGGGTGTGGAGTTGGGTGAGACTCTCAGTGGGGCTTTGGGGACGACAAGATAACGCCCGCTCCCCACTCTGAGACCCCCTTTTCCCTCACTCTTGAGGCAGTGCAGCTTTGCCAGTCTGAACCTCAGTTTCTTCCTCTGCAGAATGGGAGCAGTGATCACTGCCCTTTTCCGCCTGAGGCAGGCTAAGGGCAGTAAGTGCGATAGTACTGATATTTGCAAGGCGCTCGGCGTGCCGCGGGGACGGAGCAGTCCCCCTGGACGAACCCCAGGTCACTGTTACTGCTGGTTTTTTCATCTTTGCCTTTATCCTCAGGACTGCAGAGGGGCTGGGAGCAGCTGGTCAATAGACTGTGCACAGCGCAGTGTCGGGCGTGTAGGAAGCTCTTGGGAAATGCTGGCATCTTCCGCAGTGGGGCTTTTTGAGGATTTGGAGGGGGACGGCGGCAGGAAGGCCCTGGGCAGGAGGGCGCAGGTGCAGACTCGCTGGGCAGCAGCCCTGGTCAGCCATGCTGGTCGTGCCGGGGGCAGACAGTGGCCTGCTTGGCGGCCCAAGGATGAGATTCCAGGGGGCCTAGAGACCCCACCAGCCTGGACCCAGGGGACAATAACAGCTGCTCCAGGAGAGAAGCCTGGAGTCGGCTGCTGGGAGGGACAGCAGGTAAAGCTTTGGAGTGAGGCTGCAGCCCAGCTGGGCGTTCTTGGCACCAACGGTGGTCTTAGGAGACGTCACGCTCCCTGCCGTTGGAAAGCCCCGGCCCTGCCCTTTCTGGCCCTGGGCGTCAGGTTCCTGGGTGTGCAGAAGCCGGGCATGTCTCACTGGTGGCCACAGCAGCCATGCCGAGCAGCCCCCTGGGAGGGGGAACCCTCCTCAGTCGGCCTTGCCATCTCCCCCGGCTCTGGGTCCTGGTCCCTGGCCCCCCTCGTCTACTCCGCCCCAGCTACCATCTGCGGGGGCAGCTCCAGCAGAGGCTCCATGTGCCAGGGGTGAGAGGCGGCCACAGCTCCCCGGCTGTTCCAAGTTTAGTGTTTCAGGGTTTGGGGCGGTGGTGAGGGACAGGCTAGTTCAAGGATACTGGGCCACCCGTCGAGAATTGACAGCAGCATAGCAGGGGGTAGAGGGAGGCTGTTCCCCGCCTCCAGCCCCTCCTCTTACAGAATAGAGAGAAGGGGGCAGACCTGAGCCCGGAGGTTCCGGGGTGGACACTGCTGCAGCCTCGGGAAGCCCACGGTTCCCCGTGAATGTGCAGGCCCCCGCTGTGTGCCCCGGCGTCCACAGAATGCCTGTAGCCGGCCCCTATGTTCAGCCGCATCGTGAGCCATAAATTAAAGCTACAGAGAGGGGCAGGGGGGTATTGGTGGTGGTGAGGTCACAGGCCAGGGCAGCCTGTGCCAGGGACTGGCTTGCGTTCCTGGTGTGGAGGAAAGATGGGGAGAAAGGGAACCGGGAACCCTCGAACCCCACCCTTACTTTCCCCGTGGGCTTCGGCTTCTTTCTCCTTGGTTGGAGAATTGGTGTGACCACACCCCTCAGTACACACTGAAAGGCTTTGCGGCGTGTTTGTTTTCATTTCACTTGGCTCATCTTTTCCAAGGGATGGAAAGATGGTCTGGTTTGGCAGCTGCCCGCAAGGAGGACTTCGGGGTGGCCAAGAGAATCAGCGTGTGCCTTAAGAGAAATCAGGCTGGACAGAAAGGGTGACGGTGTGGGGAGGAGCTCCCAGTTCCCCCCTGTCTGGGTGAGGGCAGTGTCAGCAGCCTGGTGCCAGCACCTGTCCCGCCCACTTGGGAAGGAGATGAAAGGAACAGGCCTGCGGGGTGGGGGAGGATGGCTGGTTTTGCTGTGAGCCCCTTTGATCTCTCCTGTCCAGTGGGGCCTAGTCTTTTCCCCTCTGAGGGCTGACTGACGTGAGAGGAAGACCAGGCCCACGGCAGCAAAAGTGGACCCTCATCATAGCGGCAACCATCCTCACACGGGCCCCCGGGGACCTGGGGACAACACTTCCATCTGCCCATTTTACAGACGTGGAGACTGAGGCTTAGAGAGATGGCCTGAGCTTTGTCAGGGGCAGGCAGGCTGGGGCGTCAGGGTGTGACCCAGGTTTCCCCATGTTCACTGTGCTCTTGCCTGAAGCTGACCAGGGCCCCCTCCCTCCTGCCTTGGGGGCTTCCGCCCCACGTAAATACTGGTGCCAGATGCCAGCTCTGTAAGGGGTCTCTCATTTCAGCTTCCCCGCCCCTGGCTGAGGGGTCGGCACGATTTCAGGGGGAAGGATCAGAGCACAGAGAGGTCAAGACCCTCACCCAAGGTCACACAGTCACCAAGTGAAAGAGGCCAGGCGTCTGACACTAGCACTTTCTATACCTCACCCTGTGACTCCTGCCTCCCCGCCAGTGCCCGGGAGTTTCTGCCCAGCTCACACCACGGGAGGGTGCTGGGCTCCCAGCCCCGCTCCCCCGCCAAGCTCGCCTGGCCCAGGTGCAGAGGCTCACCTGTCTCACTGTTTTCCCCTCCCCACCCGCCCCCGCCCTCCCCTGGGGCCTGGCAGCAGCAGCAGCAGCAGCAGCAGCAGCAGCAGCAGCAGCAGCAGCAGCAGCAGCAGCAGCAGCAGCAGCAGCAGCAGCAGCAGCAGCAGCAGCAGCAACAGCAGCAGCAGCAGCAGCAGATGCCCCGCAGCGGCCAGGAGGAGGACAAGGACAAGGAGGCCGAGAAGGAGGCCGAGAAGCCAGACGTGGAGCAGCAGCAGCAGCAGCAGCAGCAGCAGCAGCAGCAGCAGCAGCAGCAACAGCAGCAGCAGCAGCAGCAGATGCCCCGCAGCGGCCAGGAGGAGGACAAGGACAAGGAGGCCGAGAAGGAGGCCGAGAAGCCAGACGTGGAGGACGGCAAGGAGGAGCTGATCAAGTAAGGCTGGCGGCCGCCCGGCAGGGGCCCGGCCGCGACCCCCGGGTGGGGGGCATGAACGGGGCCGTCCCGGAAGGGTGTGCGCGGAGGTGGCATCTACAGATCGCCTGCCTCGAAGGGAGGCGCTTTCTGCTCCGCCTGTGCCCGGCAGCCCCCCTTCCGGAAGCCGGCTCTTATCCCGCCCGCCCGCCCTTTCTCGAAGCCTCTGGAGACCTCAGAGACTGAGAGCTCACTTGAGCTCCACTCCTGAGCGAACAAATCCAGGCAGTGACTCTGGAACTCTTTGCCTCCTCCCTCCTCGGCCGAGTCTCCTGAGATGCTGGGGGCGGGAGGGGGGCTCAGAGGCGCTCGCTGGGCTGCTCACCGAGGGAAGGACTGTGTTTGCAGGCAGGCGGCGGCCCTCACCTTTCGAATGATCGCTGTCAGTGTGAGTTCTTGCAGATCAAGGCACAGCCTCGCCTCGGGGTGGGGGGGCCCCTCACTGGCAGCCTCCCGTGCCTGCCAGGGGCGGGAGCACAGCCAGCTGGAGATTCACTCCAAGGAAGGGGGGGCAGTGGGCACGGCTTAGCGCGAGGTACCTGGAGTGGGCTCAGGAATGTGGCTTCTGAGAGCATCTGGCTTCGTTACCCCTTGTCTCCCAGACGCTCCTGCAAGGCCCTTCAGGAAGATGAATGGAAGGCGGAGGTGATGAATCTGGGCAGCCCCGCAGTAAAGTCTCCTGAGTCGGCTTCTGAGAAAGTCCCAGCCCCAGTTAATGAGGTCACATGCTCCTCACACGCCTGGCTCGGCCTGCATAAGACCGGCAGGAAACTTTCCTCTTGCGTTTTCTGCAGGACACAGTGGTCCGTGATAGTACGGAAGGCAAAATCAGTGTCGTTTACAGGGCCCCTTGGGGGAACGTCTCCTCTTTGGGGAGTTAAAGTGGCCTGAAGATTGTACCAGCCTGCACCCCCATGCCGTTAATCCAGTAATCTTGTAGACAGAGAGCAGAGAGCATCTCTGTTTGGTGTATAAAATGGTCTTGCAGGTAGCCACCAGCCCACACCCCTACTTGGTTAATAAAATAGCCAGTCGGTTAACTCCCAGCCCACATCCCTGTTAGGAGAATAAAGCAGACAACAGCTACCAGTTCACACCTCCCTTTTCATAAATAAGATGGCATTGCAGACGGCTGCCAGGCGTACTCCCTCGTCTGGTGAATAAAGGAGCCTTGCAGATTGCTACCAGCCAGCCCTCACCCCAAGCTTTCCCCCTCTTTCCTACCCTCTGATTAGTAGAAAATCGCTGGCAGCCAGCACTCATCTTGCTAAGGAAAAGCAGGTCTCTTGAAACTGCCAACTAGGTTCCCGACTCCGGTGAAACCATCCCTGTCTCCCCTCCCTGGCCTTTAGGGAGAAGACGGATGACACCTCTGGGGAAGACAACGATGAGAAGGAGGCGGTGGCCTCCAAAGGCCGCAAAACCGCCAACAGCCAGGGAAGACGCAAAGGCCGCATCACCCGCTCGATGGCCAATGAGGCCAACAGCGAGGAGGCCATCACCCCGCAGCAGAGCGCCGAGCTGGGTGAGTCTCGGGCTGGAGAAGGGGTGCCGCAAGCACAGCAGGCTCAGAATCCCAGCATTAGCTGCACACTCGCTGTGTGACCTGGGGCGAGTTCCTTAACCTCTCTGTCCCTCAGTGGCCTCATCGGCACTGTGGTTGCCCGTAATGCCTGTAACCCGCGGGGTGAGCGTTTTAGTGACTTTGTGTGTAGGAAGGGCCTAGAACAGTGCCTGGGGCATGGGAAAGGCTCACTGGCTGTCAGCCGTGATTATTCCAGAGCTAGAGAGTTCACATAAAATTCCAGATCACCAATTTGGTTTTGTTTTTCACTCAGAAGATCTGGCCTTGGGACTTCCCTGGTGGTCCAGTGGTTAGGACTCTTCTCTTTCAGTGCCCAGGGCCTGGGTTCAATCCCTGGTCGGGGAACTAAGATCCCGCAAGTCGCCAAAAAACCACCCCTTTTTGCGGGATCTTAGTTCCCTGACCAGGGATCGAACCCACGCCCCCTGCAGTGGAAGTGTGGAGTCTTAACCGCTGGACCGCCAGGGAAGTCCCTGTACCTTCATTTCTGTGGGCCTCAGTTTCTCCTTCTGCTCAGCGGGTGCCCACCTCCAGGTGCTCTGAGCCTCACGCCCTACCCCAAGGCGGGGGAAACAAGAGAGAAGAATTGAGTAGTAGTTCCCAAGTTTGGCCACAGGGGGGCAGCCGGTGTGTGCTCGCTGTCTGTAGCGTTTTGGCCGTTTGGGGCCTGCCCTCCGGCGTGTGCGGGAACCTTGACCTGTGGCCTGAGCGTTCAGGCTGAGGCCCCAGCCACCTGGATGTCTTCCCGGGGTGGGAGTTGATGGAGGTGGTGTTCCCTGTCTCACAGACGCCCGCCTCGTCCACACCCAGGGTTTGTGCCAGGCACCTCTTCCTTCTCCCTGTGGGAGGTCATTGGTACCCATTTCATACATGGGCTGTTTGAACCTTAGAGAAGGGATGTTGCCTCTGTAAAGTCCCGGTCAGTTGGGGTTCGGAGCCAGCCCGCTGGCCACAAACCCCGTGCAGCTCCTGTGGGCTGGTGCCAGAGTGCCTGGAGACCCAGGGCAGGAGGGTTCCCTTCAGGAGGGGAGGCACTGGCGCACCTGACTTCCGGGGAAGCTCTTCTGGACTCCAGGCTGACGTTGGGGCCTGATGGCGGAGTGGAAAACACAACCCCAGGCCCTCTGATGGGCACCTCCCACCCCAGGCTCCACTTCCACAGCCTGCCTCTGGGGGTGCCATGGGAGGAAAGGGGAAAGCTGGCCATGGCAGCAGGGAGCGGGGAGGCTGCCCGAACTTTCCTCTGACGGTCAGCGGCCTTTACCAAGTGCATACTCTGTGCCTAGCGCGGTTCCAGGCACTGAGTCCGTGAAGCTGACGTCCCTCACGCTCGCCGCCCTCGCGACATCTTAAGCGACTTTCAGGGAAGAGCGAGGGCTCACGTGTAGGGGAACTTGGAGGAGAGGCTCAGAAACAGCCACAGCAGACACTCGGCTAACTGCCCCGACTCCAAGGCAGCTGCGCTCCTTCTCCGTAACACGAGCAGCCCCATCCTCGTACCGCATGAGTCAGGGGAGAATATAGTAATCACCCTGTAAAGCAGGGCCCTCCCGCAGGGGACAGGTGGCCATGTCTGGAACCGTTTTTGATTGTCCCCGTTGGAGTGGGGGATCCTGGCACCTAGCGGGTAGAGGCCAGGGATGCTGCTCCACACCTGCAATGCCCAGGGCAGCCCCCACGACAGAGGGGCACCCGGCCCCGGTGGGTCCACGCTCAGATGAGGTCCCTGCGCGTCACGTCCCTCCTCCTCTCTCCCCGCCTTCACGTGGTCACCATGCTCCCAGCCGAGTGCATACAGAGGCAGCTCAGTGTCCAGGCCCTGGATCGCCTCAGTGTTCCCCTCTGTAAAACAGGTGCCTGCACACCCTCCACCCAGCAGGCGCCCCGAGTAGCCAGAGGCAGAGACAGTGCCCCGCACCAGGCTGCTGCCAACACACTGTGTCTTCCTTTCCAGCTTCCATGGAGATGAACGAGAGTTCTCGCTGGACCGAAGAAGAGATGGAAACAGCCAAGAAAGGTGAGGGGTTTCTGGCTGCTCTCATCGCCCTCGATGGGCATCCGGGTCCTGCAGCTCGTGTGGTGGGGAGGAGGTTGACCTGTGCCCTTCAGCGGGGCTGTGGTGTGGTCTGCAGGGGGCACGCTCCGCTTCTGGGTGTTCTCAGATTGGCCACGTCTCCTCGGAGCCTCAGTTTTGTCCTCCAGAGAACGGGTCTATGTGGCCATGTTGTCGGGGTACGGCTTCCGTGGCCACTGGGGCCAGCACGTCATGGCCTTGCAGACTGAGTGGCGGCCGAGCACCTGGGTGCCTTGGGAGGTGCAGAGCCTGCTGGTGGCCACCGCGGCGGGGTCACGGGGTCAAGCTGTTCCCCTTCGCTGCGCCGTCTCCCTGCGCTGTGGTGGTGACCCCGCGTTCTCTGTAGAAGCCACCAGCACATTCATTGTTCATTGGAGCCAGAATGGCTGGGCCCTTGACTTCCTGGCTCAGCGACCAGTCTCTGGGTCTCAGTTTCCCCATCTGTGAAAAGAGAGGGGCATCCGGGCTGGCCAAGAGAAGCCAGAGATGACAGGCACCGAGGGTCCCAAGCATGGCCCGGCACTGTCGGGGCTACGTCGGTGTCGATCCCCCGGCCCCCATCTCTGGGAGATGCTCTAGCTGCCCCTCCCTCTCCTGTGCCCAGTGCAGGGGCCATCAGACTAGCTCAGCGCCGGCAGGAAGGCCAAGGCTGAGGTGGCCTCTGAGCCCCATTTTGCCTGCTTGCTCTCATTCATCTTGACCCCAGCCCTGAGAGGTGAGTCTTGTTTCCGGCCGTTTTGTGGACGAGGGAGTGAGGGGCAGAGGCCGAGGATGGCCCGGTCCTGGAGCTGGTGACCTGGGCCTCCCAGCTCTTGTCCCCAAGGTCCTGCTGAGGCCCCACTGCTGACGTGCAGCTTCTTTGTGCCCAGAGCTCCAGGTCATGACTCAGGGAGGGAGCAAATGGCCTTTCTAATGAAGGACCCAGGTGCACAGGGACAGTTGTGTGCGAGGACAGCTGGGCCCGGAGGCTGAGACCTTGGACCATGGGCTGCCTGCCCTGCCCACCCCCTCCCCTCCCCCTGCCCCAGGAGAGGGTGCCTGGGGGCCTGAGCGTCTGGTCCTGGTGTTTCAGAAACTGACCAGGAGCAGCCCCAGACCTGATCAGGCCCCCTACCGGGGACCGGGCCCCTCCCCTCAGGGCTCCTGTCCGGGCACACTGTCCCTCGGAGGCTCCAGACCTCCTTCCTCCAAGCTCCCAGCCCTCTGGTGAGGCTGGCCTGGAGGAAGGGCCGGGCTGGACCCTCAGCCTCATTCAGAAGAGGAGGAGCTGCCTTGGTTCCTCTCGCAGGTGAGGCCCTATTTTCAGCGTCTCAGGAGCACTAACGGGGGCCTGTGCGCATAGTTTCTGGCTGCTGGGGGTCAGTGGGTGCTGTCAGCCCCCCAAGGGGGCCACGCTGTCCTTTTCTTCTGTCTTCTGTGTCTACTCTGTGGGTTTTGGTATGGATTCACCATGGGGTGCAAAAGAGGCTTTATTTGAAAATGTGTGATGTTTTTTCCCCCCTTTAATTTTGGTGAAAGACATATAACGTAAAAATCTCCATTTTAATTATTTTAAAGTGTACAATTCAGTGGCATTAAGTACATTCACAGTGTTGTGCAGCGATCACCACTCTCTAGCCCCAGCACTTTCTGTCACCCCAAACGGAGACCTCGTACCCATTAGCAGTCATTCCCCATTCTCCCCAAGCCCTGCCAACCTCTGGTGGCCACCAGTCTGCTTTCTGTCTCCATGGATTTGCCTGTTTAGGACTTCGGCGTGAATTGAATCATATAACATATGCTCCTTTGTGTCTGGCCTCTCTCAGCATCATGCTGTTGAGGTCCATCCATGTCGTAGCCTGTGTCAGCACCTCATTCCTTTTTATGGCTGAGTTGTATTCCTCCGTGTGGACAGAGGAGTTCTATTTATCCATTCATCCATTGTTTGATGGACACTTGGGTTGTTTCCACCTCTTGGCTATTGTGAATAATGCTGTTGTGAACATTTGTATAGAATTGCATGGTTTTTTTAACCACACGTGAGACCCTGGGATCTCAGCCACCGGCAGTGATGTTGCCCGGGGACCCACCCACCAGGGCCGTGAGGGGCTCCACGTGCATGTCCCAGGGCTGCCAGCCTGTGCTGTGTCTTCTGTCGTCATGGCAGCCCCATCCCCAGCTCCTTCCCAGTTGCCCGGGAACCGGGAGTCGGCTGAGTCAGAGGCTGCCCTCCCTCTTCCTTTGGGAGCCGGCTGGGGATGACTCACCGGGAGTGCGGCTGGGACGGGAGTGCGCCCCACTGTCTCAAGGTTGAATCCTCAGTGGTGGCAGCGAGCTTACCCTGGGTCCTGCCCGCGGAGACGGCAGTGTGCGAGTCCCCCCGGGGACCGTGCACGCCAAGGCCCTGCTCAGTGACATTTGTGATAATGTGATGAGTGCCGGTGTGCTTGTCCGCCGTGAATTATAGCAATCTGGACAATTACCGCTCAGGGTGGCTGCTAATGGCTGCATGTTCCAGGCGGCGGGAGGGATTCGGGGCCAGGAGGCAGGTGCTGGCAGCCCCCCGGACTCCTTCTCCACAGTGGGCGGGGGTGGAGAGACTAGGAATGTTCCAGTGCCCCCGGCCCTCAGAAACCCAGGAAGGTGCCCAAAACCCAGCTGTGCCCGAGACAGATTGTACCCACCCATCCTCCTACCCATTTACATCGACCCAGTGCCTCACCCTGTGCAGGACAGGGGTACCCAGAGATGAGCCAGCCCTGGTCCCTCCCTCAGGGAGCTCAGGAAGTGAGCAGCCAGGTGTCCCCAGGGCCTTGGGACCACTGAGCGTGCCCTAGGCATCCCAGGAGACTTCCAGGAGCCAGGCCTAGAAGGATGAGCTGCAGAGGGTCCCCCGTCCCCAGAGAGAAACTGGACCTCAGCCTCCGGACCTTTTAGCTCTGTGACCTTGGGCAAGCTAGTCAACCTCTCTGTGCCTCAGTTTCCTCATCTGTACAATGGGAATTAGAGTATCACCCACTGTATGAGTTTCCTGGGGCTGCCGTAACAAAGTACAAACTTAGTGGCTTAAAAACAACAGAAATGTATTCTCTCCCAGTTCTGGAGACCGTGAGTCCGAAATCAAGGTGTGGGCAGGGCTGGGTTCCCTCTGAGGGCTCCAGGGGAGGGTCCTGCCTCTCCTCCTCCAGCCTCTGCTGTTGCTGGCAATCCTCGGCGCTCCTTGGCTTCTAGACATTCCAATCCCTGCCTGCATCGTACATGGCTGTCTTCCCTCTGTGTGTCTCTGTCCAAATTTTCCTCTTCTTATAAGGACCCACCCTAATCTAGCATGACCTCATCTTAACTCGATCACGTCTATAAAGACTTTTTTTCCAAATAAGGTCACATTCACAGGTTACAGGTGGGTGGACATGAAATTTGGCGGCGGGTGGGGAACACTGTTTAATCCAGGACAACCACCTTTGTGGGGTTTTGGTGAAAGGAAACAGAAGCGCTTACAGGGGTGGTGACTTAGACACACTGAGTTTCCTGTCGCTGTTTGTAATGATAACCAACTCCTCAGCCTTGTTACCCTGGCCCGTCCCTGTCGTGGCCTCATTTTCCCTCGTCCTCCAAAATGAGGCTGGGATGCCATCACCGAGGGGCATTATAAGAGTGGCATGAGCCATATTCGTGCAGTCCTTGGCATACAGTATGTGCTCAGAAGTGGCAGGCCTGCAGTTCAGCACACAGACTATGGAGCCTTTCTTCCTGGGTTTGAGTCCCAGCTCTGTCCCTTGTTGGGTGTGTGATGCTGAACAGTGCCTGCGCTTCCCGGGGCCGCAGGGAAGGGGGCTGGAGGTGAGCGGCCTGCTGAGCAAGCGTAGAATGACATTTGGAGGTGGTTTCACAGCGCTGGGGAAGGGCCCTTGGGCTGACACCCTAAGCACGAAATAACATTAAGTAACGCTATCAAGTACTTGTCGGTACGCCTGGGTACCAGGTGCAGCTAAAGGCGTTATGTATATCAAGTCACTTCATCCCCACTAACCTTATGAGGCAGATGCTATTACTAGTTTCTTTATCCAGATGACGAAATTGAGACCGAGAGAGGTTAAGTGAGCTGCCCAAGGTCACACAGCTGTTAATTGGTGGAGCTGGGATTTGAACTCATGCACTCTAGTTACAGAATGGGAATGGGGCTGGTGTGAGGTTTGGATGAGTGAGTCCGTGGGCCTGGCTACTATTAATCAGATAACGAGAGAGGGAAGGGCCTCCCAGCAAAGGAATAGCATGTGCAAAGGCCCTGTGGCAAGGGCAGCGTGGTCAAGAAAGAAGCTATTAAAACCCAGAGAACGAGAGGAAGAGAGGCAAGGAATGGAGAGGCCGTCGGGAGGGCCACCCCTCACCCCCTGGCCTTACCAGCTGTGGGATAGCGTTTGGCCGTTACTCTGAGAGCATGGGGAAGACCATTGCATGGGGAGGAGTGGGACAGGGGACAGGATGGCTGCAGGGTTCCAGGTTGGCAGGTGGGCACCTGCTCCTTCCTTTGTGCTTGGAGTCAGGGCTGCCTGTCCTGGGGCTCATACCAAGTGAGGACTGAGCATGTGCAGGGCAGCCTCAGGGAGCTGGCTGCCTGCCCTTGGGCCCAGCGCCATGCTGGGCAGGCACTAGGCTGGGACGTGAGGCTCTAGTTCCCCTGGGAAAGGTCGGCCTGGCCTGGCTTGCAATCTCGACCCAGCTGTGTGGGAGGCCCAGGGCTCTGCTGGCAGCCCCTACTGGTCTCCAGCCCCCTTCTCTGGTGGACAGGGCACCAGCTGTGGAGGGGGCAGGGAAGCCCCCCGGGCACACCATTCCAGACCAGAAATAGGCACTGGCCCAGCTCCTGGCCACCAGCCCCTCCCTAGCCTCGAGTGGCCTGCCTGATGAGGAGGGAGAAGGCAAGGTGTGCAGCCCCAGAGTAGGGTGCTGCAGGGACCAGGATC